AGGCGTAGTCCTAACCTTATATCCCGACAACAAAGATACAAAGTTTAACAAATGATGCACGTGCTATTTCAATACGTGTCTTAATTTCTTTGGTTTGGTCTACTTTTGACGTTATCAAAAAACCGAGAAGACACTAACAATTAATTCTTATTTGGTCTCAATAAAAGTGTAAAAATTATCTACACTTCTTTTTTTTTTTTAATAAATTACAATTAAAATATATTACAATTACAATAAAAATATATGGAAATTTTTATAAATTTAGTATTCTTAATTAGATTTTAACATTTTTTAGCATTCTCAGTAGTTTTTAAAATTTAAGTTTATTTAGAATTCTTTCATTAAATTTATAACTTATAAATGTATTAAACTATAGTCCATTTCCATCATATTGATAGCACATTGTGTATGCAAATCCCTAAACTGTTGATACGGGTGACTCAATGAAAAATAGATATTTGTCAACAAGTTTACAGAAGTATATAGGAGAACAATTTTAAATTGACTGTGACCACCAGGTATAAAGGTTGAAGCAGAATAGAATACAATAATTTTGAGGGTTACTTATCCCTAAATAAAGTTGCCAGTGTCGGAGTGATGGAGATTAACAGGTACTAATGAATTTGCAAGCAATGTAATATGTTTATTTTATTGGTTATATAAAAAATAATTTGTGGCTGTAACAGGGGCCGATTTGTAAAAAAATGAATATTATTTTAATCAAATTCCATTTTAGATTCACTGCTTTTTTCAGAATTTTTAATCCTAATCATACATAATTCTGCCAAAAATAAAAATATTTTATTTTTGAGTAAAAATCATGTTTTTTTTAATAGTTCATATACAACTAATTATCATCATCTTTGGCTCTACAACCCTGAGTGGGTCTTGGCCTGTTTAAGAATTAGTCTCCATTCCTCCCTATCTTTCGCCCTGGCTTTCCAATTTCTGACCCCAAGATTCCTCAAGTCATCTTAGACTTGAGTTTTGAATCTAGATCTTGGCCTGCCCCTCTTCCTGGTTCCTACTGGCTTTTGATATAATATCTGTCTTTGGGGGTATCCAGTGTCCATTCTTTCAAGGCGTCCTAGCCACCTTAGTCTATTAATTTTAATAGACCGGACGATGTTGAATTTTTTATAGCATTGATACAATTCAAAATTGTAGCGCCTGCGCCATATCCCGCTTTCTTGTACTCCTCCGTATATGTGTCTAAGTATTCGTCTTTCAAAGCGGCCTAACAATTCTTCGTCGCTTTTTACCATAATCTCTGTCCATAAACCTGTCCTGACGCGTATGTCAGGACAGGTTTAATAAGAGTTTCATATATTAGTATCTTGGTTTTTCTGTTAATTATGTGTGATGTTAAGAACTGCTTTAGTCCAAAGTAAGCTTTGTTCGCCAGATACATACACAACTAATAACAGTTTATATATGATGTTATATGGTATAGATCAGTATATTCTAACTATTTGTATACGAAAATAAAACTGCTTTTACTATTTTCCTTACAATTTCATCAGATTTTCTCGAATTTGTGCGAAATGAAAAAAGTAAATAGACGTGAAGTTAGTTTGTTCAACGTCACTTTATGTTTTAATGAACTACCACTGTAGTAGAGGTACAGTTTTATAAAACATTTTGTATGAGGGCATAATTTAACTTTTGTCATGGGAAAATAAAACTGTTGTTTCTACTATTCTCTTTACAACTTCATCATATTTTCTTACCTATTAGACCTTCCTAGGACTTTAAATAATTATTTTAAAACCAAAATAAGCCAAATTGATTCAGTAGTTCTCGATTTATTACAGTCCAGTCCAAATCTGGAGAAAGAATTAATAACAGAAGAGTAGCTAAAGGAAATAATATGACCGCTGCCTAAAAAGCGGGATCAACTTGATCCGCTTTTATAAGGACTATAGAGGCATTATTCTGTTAAAATCTGCATTCAATAATTTTAAAGGACTTGAACTCTACAAAAGATATTGTTGGGCATTATCAATGCGGATTCACTACCGGAAAGTCAACTATTCGCCAAATACACGCACATAGGCAAATTTTAAAGTTACTAGAATATAATATACAGGGTGATTGATAAGTGTGATAAATCTCAGTAGATCCGATATAATAATAGATAGCAATAAAAGTTAACGGCAAAAATTTTAGGCAACTTTATAAGTAAAGGTGCACATTATAAAATTAGTTAGAATAATACAGGCTGTTTGATAAAATAGTGGCAGACCAAACTTATATTTTTATTTAAATAAAATAACCTGCACTTTATTTTATATTCACTTCTTCACTTTCACCATCACAACAATATAAAGTCTTGTTATGTTTTACAGTTTGACCAAAATTTTAAGAAAATCGTATTAAGTTCAACTCCCTGTATAATTAAAAAAAAGCACAATAACAATGATCTTTTACTGCCATATTTTTTATTGATTGTTAAACTTTCAAACATTAATGGATATTGCTAATTTTCTTTACTTTGAATAAAGTGGTAAGTCAAAATGCAAGTACATTATTTTCTCATTAATTTTCAATGAAACACCCTGTATTTATGTCACTATCGAAAAGTACCCTTCTTCTTCTTCTTCAAGTTCCACTCCTATCGGAGATTGGAAATCATTCTGGCAATTATAATTTTATTGGTTACGCGCCTGAATAGTTCAATTGAACTGCATCCAAACCATTCACGGAGATTGCGTAGCCACGAGATTTTACGTCTTCCTACGCTTCTTCTACCTTTGATTTTACCCTGCAATATATTCCTTAGTAGTTCATATTTTTCACCTCTTATGATGTGCCTCAAGTATTCCAATTTCCTGATTTTTATGGAATTTAAAACTTCGCATTGTTTTCCTAGTTGTTCGAGAACTTGTTCGTTTGTTTTGCGATCCATCCATGATATTTTCAAAATACGTAGGTAACACCACATTTCCAATGCTTCTAGGTTTTTAATGTTGGATTTGTTAAGTGTCCAAGCTTCAACTCCATAAAAAAGGGTAGAGAAAATATAACATCGAAGCATTCTTATTCGGAGCGATATATTGATATCGCGATTACAAAAAAGTTTTCTCATTGTATTAAAAGCTGACCCTTACCATACTTTAATTTTTATTTGATATTTCCTATGACTAAGTTTATTAGTGTTTGAGATATTTTCATTTTTTAACGCAAAGTATAAGTTGAGAGGGAGAAACCTGTTTCTCTTAAGTTCTTCTTCTTCTTCTTTGTCAACCATTTTCCATTCACTCCTGAATGTAGGTCTCTCCCTATTGCTTCCATCTTTCTCTATTTTGTGCCAGTCTAATCCACTGTTTGCCTGCCATTGCTCTTATGTCATCTACGCATCTTTTTTGAGGTCTTCCCATGCTTCTTGTTGTCGCCCTTGGTCTCCATTCTAGAATTCTCCGTCTTTACCTGTTGTCATTATATCGGGCTACGTGACCTGCCCAGTGCCATTTCATTTTTGTAATTTCTTCCACAATATCCCTAATCTTCGTTCTACGTCTTATCTCGGTGTTTCTTATCTTGTCTCTTAGTGATATTCCAAGCATGATTTGCTCCATTGCTCTTTGCGTTGTTTCTAATTTTTTAGCAGATTTTTTGGTAAGGGCTACTGTCTCCAAGCCGTAGGTACAAACTGGTACTATGCATGTGTTATGCACCTTTTTCTTTAGGTTTATAGGAATGGAGGTGCTTTTCAAGATATGTGCTAGTTTGACGAATGCGCCCCATCTCAGGGTAGCGGGTAGGAACTCCTCTGGATAGTCCTATCAGGGCAAATGAATTAATCCCTGCCCTCCGTAGGTCTCAGAAGTTTCCTGACCCGGGAAACTAGTACCTGCTTAGGGTTCCTTGCCCAGGGTCATGGATGAAGTCCACAACAGCAGACACGGCGGAGAGGAATACCTTCGGTACAGCGTGGATGGCGGAAGTGGCAATCCCCTGATTTTAGGGATTGTATAGAATCACTCGCCAACCAGCTCGGCAAGCGTGGCGTTTTAAATATGCTAACACCTCTCTTAAGTTGGTCATTGAAAATTATATCTATATTTTTTAATTTAATAATTTCCATAGATTCCAATAAAGATAGCTTAAATCCTTGATTTTGAATGTGAAGAATTTGAAATTTGTCATTCAAAAATGAATATGGTTTAAAAGGTAAAGTACGTACGTAGAACCTGTTTTTCTATTATTGAAATCTCTTTTATGTTCCACTATACGTTTGTTAAAAGTTCTATCATTTTGACCATTGTAAGTTTTTGGGCAGTCGGCCACATTTGTATACACCACTGTGTAACTGCTTTATCTTTTGGATTTTATTGTATTTGATTATTTTATTGTGTTTGTTGAAAGAAGTGAACAGAGAAAATATAGTAATAACAAACAGAGGTCTTTATGGTCTTCGGAAACATATGAGAAATAAAAGTCTAAAACGTGCAGTAAAGCTTAACATTTACACGATCTTAATACGACCGGTTTTGATATATGGAGTTGAAACATGAACTTTATCCCAAAACGATGAGAGATTACTTGATACCGTTGGGAGAAAAATACTAGCAAAGATATTTGAGGATGTAAATTAAAACGGACTAGTCTATGACTTCGAAAATTTTACTTTGAAATATACTAAGCTATTCATAGAACTAGACACGAAATTTAGTAAAGTACAGAGATTGACATTCCCAAACTCAGGGGGTAAAACAAGTAGAGAACAACTAAGGACCAAAAGATGAAGGAAAGTTGGACAGGACTCGACCAATGGGAGTGGCGATTTCTCTGAGAGCAACCCAAAATTCACAAAATATTTCAACCTAATTATGATGATGATGATGATGCTTGTATAAATTAAAACCTGAAATAGCATTACATACTTTTATTGTTATAATATATATTATAATAGCCTCTTTATCAATTTACAAATCCAATATACCTAACTATATGTATATTTGATCATATTAGTTTATTTTAATTATAATGAAATATGTCTAATCACCTCTCCAGTCTGAATTGTCTTCAATCCAATCAAGAAACTTGGTTGTTCTGCAATACACAGAAGGGTATCCAGAAATACACCATCGCACTCCATATGAAACTACTCCTACTTGAATGTCTCCAATAACCAATGGACCTCCGGAGTCTCCGTTGCAAGCCGTTTTTCCTTCAGCTCCAGAAAGGCAAATTTCTTCATTTTTAACAATTCCAAAGACTTCATTACACGCGAAGTTACTTATTATGGTGTTGTTAACTTGACGAAGAACGTCAGAAACACTTCCACCACCACTAGTGGTTACACCCCAACCACTTACTCGAGCATTGTCACCTAAAAATAGTTTATTTTATTAATTAGTCAAAATATAATTAGATATTAAACAATTTAAAATTTAAGTAATTTACCCCATTAGGTGCCAGATTATCGACGGGTTTTAAAAACTTTACCTGAAGTATTTTTAGCCAAATATCTAATTTTTTGCCAAAGTTCATCAACAGTCCCAGTGTGTATTTTGACAGCCAAGAGTTTGTTTCTAAACAGGCATGATTTGTAACACCTTATCGTTGAAATCTGATCCAATAAAGTGGTCGATGACTTCGAATTATTTCATTGGCAAAGAGAGCAACTAGATTTCTTCAAGAGAACGGTTGTTTCCATATTTGACTGAACGTCCTAGCTTGGTTACTGGTACCCATTCTTTTTGACCTTTCTTTCCACGATCTGGTGCTCTACCGAGATCTCTACCTCAACCTTTGGGACCACCTCTATCCCCTCCACTGCCACCACCACCAAAACACTCTTGGAATCTACCGCATCCATAGAGCTGCATTTAACATTGTTTTGTTGCTTGTAATGTGGCTATCAGCGAAAGAAAAAAAGAAAGATAACTTCTTAAAAATACATGGTAAAAGACATGGTCCTGAAAAAGAAGTTCAAAAGAAATGGCCACCAGTAACCAAGATAGGACGTTTAGTCAAAGATGAAAAGATCCGTTCTCTTGAAGAAACCTACATTCTACGTTCTCTTTTACAATAAGAGTATTCGAAACCATTGATCACTACATTGGATCAGACTTGAACAATGAGGTATTGAAAATTATATCTGTTCAGAAACAAACTCGACAGTAAATGACACATTCGATTTGACGTAAAATGCAGCAAGTAGCAACTGCCATCAGGAATACTATTATTTTAGCCAAACTGTCAGTCATGCCAGTATGAAGGGGATACTGAGATAATAAGATTAATCAGCCTTACACTGTGCCTTACAAGGTTACTGTAAAATCTGGTTCCGTTATTGTACGTTTGATCTTATCTCCCCGTGGTATCGGAATCGTTACTGCCACTGTTCCTAAGAAACTTCTACAAGTGACTGGTATTAAAAATTGCTTCTTCTGCTTTGAGTGCCTCTTCTATCGGGGATTGGATATCATTAGGGCGATTCTAATTTTATTCACTGTTTTTTTGAATAATTCGTTAGTGGTACAGCCAAACCACTCTCTTAAATTTCTCATCCAGGACATTCTTCTACGGCCTGGATATCTGCCTCCTTGGATTTTTCCTTGCATTATATTTTCTAAATGTGTACTTTTGTCCTCTCATCAGGTGGTCTTAGTATTCAAGTTTTCTCTTTTTTATAAGTATAACTTCTGGATCGTTATTTACCTCTTCATTTACATCTCAAAGTTTTGAAGATTTTTAACATTGATGAGGGTTACTACGGAAAAATTGCTACGCTTCAGCTAAAGGTTCTACTAATACTTTAGGTAACTTTGTCAAAGCTACAAGGGGCTTGAGCAAGGATAAGGACATGGCTTAATCTAAGACACCGTACGAAGAATAATTGCTTAAGTTAAGTATTTTGTAATCTTTTGTATGTATAATTAATACAAAAACAGCTTAAAAAAGTATTATATACCAATAAAGATTGCCTCTCACTGCTGCTGCTAGAGATAGTTTTGTCTAAATAGAATTAGAAATAAATATGAAGTAATAATTAAATGAGAATGAGCGAATCTTGTTGTTTTGGAGTCAAAGCTGAGTTCTGGTGGCACTTTTCATTGATAGACTTCTGGCGATTATCGTGGGATATCGTCGTCGTAAATCTCTTTGAAGTAGTTAACCGATGAGAACACCACTTCCGTTCAGTTTTCTGTAGTAAATCGCGTCGAGATTAGCGCTGCGGCTAGGTTCTCATCTAGGGTAGGTAACGTTGTGTATTGAGATTGGCAAACCACAGAAAACCAATCTCTTCCTGTCCTAGAGTTTTTGAATCAGCGCTTAAGGAGTTATCCGAGCGCGCTCAATTTCTAATTAAGAGTATCGGTTAGATTTTTAGGAGCTGGGTGCTTAGGAAGGATGTAACGAAGATTAGAATTTTTGATTTATAGAATGGTTGTACGTCGGCATTGAGATTGCGTACCCGTGCAAATTTTGGGAGATCTCGTTGTAGAGATTGGCGACGTTGTCCCTTTTTTAGGAAAAACGTTAAAAAGGATCATTAACATAAGTACATAGTCGACTTTATATCTGAGATGAGTTCGTAAAAAGAATTTTGTCTGTATTTATGTGGTTGAAATATTTCTCAAAGATATACACAATCTGGCTGTTTTAGATTTGACTAAAAGGTATTGGTTTAAGAAAAGTCTCCACTCGTGGCGGAAAGCTACAGAAATCTGTCTAAATGTAAAGAGGTACTTTATAAGGGTCATCTTTCACCAGTTTATACTGAAAAGCCTCATGTGCTGTTCTCAATAAAAATTAAGACAGAGTTTCTCAATGATGTCCAAGGCCCCATGTTTAACGCAGAAATTCAGAAGAGATAGCCTAATTAATATTATATGTTTACCGATGGTTCAAAAAAAGGAAATAACACTGCTTGCGCAGTATACCAATAGTATTCTGGACAACAGCATAAATGTAAGTTTCCTTTGAAGCCTCCATCTATACATCCGAAATGCTGGGTTTAAAGTTTGCTCTTTCCCACGCTTTGACAAAGGAAATGAAGAACTGTGTAATATTTACAGACAGTAAAAGTGTAGTAGAAAGATTATGTGAAACAAATAAATTCAAGCAATTGACTCATCTTGATATAGAGATATTAAAATTATACTACGAGGTTTCAAAGCTCGGGGGAGAAGTTATTATCGCATGGATCAAAGGCCATTCTGGGATAAAGGGTAATATAATACCAGATGCATTGTCAAAAGAAGCATTATCAAGCGGAGAAATCATAGACAATAATATTCTACCGGTGTCAGATATATGTAGATGTATATAGTAAACATCGGCTCAAATTAAAATGTCAAGCCAATTATACGGAATCCGAAAGACAGTCATCATTTAAATATTGGCAACCCTCTCTTCTTAAAAAAAGGTGGTTTTATTCAGAGTCCAACAGAAATGTTATTAAAACTATTAATATAATAAGGTCAAATCATGCTCTAACACCTTCAAGAATGTACAAAATGGATCTAGCAGACACTCCAAACTGTAGTTGTGGTAAATATGGAGATTTAACACAATATCCTATTAAAATGTGTAAAGCAACAAGGAAATATTACATGTTTTGATGAAAACTTACGAAAAGTAAATGTCTGTTTCCCATTTCACATAAATGAATTAATTTTCTCTGGAAACTTAGAAATCTTTAATTGTATTTATCAGATAATAAGAAATTGTAAATAAAAACTTTAAACAATATAATGTACTAACCCTAGAATTAAGATAAAACTTGTAAGCAATTTGCCAACATATCAATCATGTAATAAACCTTTTAATATGAAAAAATGAAAAAAAAAATGAAAAAAAAAGAAACAAAAAAAAACAAATAAATAAAAAAAATATGCAAAACAAAATTAATATAAAAAAGACCAGAGCAAAGTAAAAAATATATATACATATTACATACAATATATACAATCAAAAAAGTAATACATGAAAATAAAAAAATAAAGTATAAAAAAATTTTAAAAAATAAAAATAAAAAAAAATCACAAAAAAAGAAAAAAAGAACAAAGAAAGAAGTCAATTCTTTAATTTACTTTTAACTTAGATTTAGTACTAACTCGAAGTCTGATTGTTGTTCTGTGAATACAAATTACAAAACAATCTGGTCAATTGGCTATGCCAAGGCCATTAAAACAAATGTGGTTGAAGTGCATTTTTTGGTGAAAGATTTGTGAGAATATGTGAGATCTTTACCATGACAGCCTAAACAAAAGGGTGCGGTGTAAACAAATAAAGTAAAAAGAATTACTCACCTACAAAGTCCTTTTGGACGTCCGTCTTGGATGGTAGTTTTGAATAGTTAATAGTGGGAGATACGGGAATTTCATTTGGCAGAATCACAACAGCGATATCGTTATCAATGGTAGAACGATCATATTTTTCGTGTTTTTTCCAACTAGCTGCGTTTACTGTGATTTGACCAGGACTCACCTGTTTCAGATTATGAGCACCAAGAGTGATTTGTATGGAAGTTGCACTGAAATAGATTTATATTAATTTTTTATATAAAAAATATAGGTATAAAAAGTATGATGTAAGCATTCAAAAGAATGTTGGTAATATTTGTTTAAGTTTTTTTCAAAACACGTAAATGAGTATCTGAAGGTACCATTAGATCATCTTGATTAATAAAATAAAAGGCTTAAAGTGAGCTCCAAACTAGCCACCGATACAGAACTATATGTGAGTCTTGGGGTCAACATGGGATCCGAGACAGAATTGAAAAAGCTCTATTGGAAGTCTTACAACCAACTACATTGTGCTAGTTTTATACAGGTTATTGGATCACGTACACACAAGATACCAAACGCGAATCCAAACAGACGGACGCAACGTCATAAAGGTAATAAGCAGAACATCTAAAAGTCCGGTGTACAATATTTTAGCAGAAAGGAGCTAATTATAGGTATAGACGTTTTCATCTTTCTTAGTGTGTGCGTGTAAATACACTTGCAATAAGTTGTTTCATCTGTCTTTCCTTGTCTAAGCTCGATTCGTTTACCTCCTCCAGTGGCAGCTATCTGTATTCGTATAAGAGGCATAACTTATCACCGACACCGTATCGGCCAAACGCATCGGTGTTATTGCTACATTACTGGGAGACGTGAGTAGTCTCTTCATTCCCTTCTCATCGCACTTTACCATGACAAACGTAACTCGCACAATTGAATTACGCATCTGTGTATCAGAGAGAGACGAATATTAAAAATTCCGTAGTTGCTTATTTCAGGCACACGCCAAGAACGATGAAACCGAGTTTATCATCATTATTACTGGTTTCACAGCCCTAAAATAAAGTTTCGACTTTTCCAAGCTTTCTTTGTCATTTAGACCTATCCATTGGCAACTGTTGTCCGTCGTCACACCAGTTTTACTTGCATTCTTATCAATTTTATCAATTAACCTAATAGCCATAGTTAATACTTATAATTAAGATATAAAAAATATATTCAAATTTAGGTTTCCCATGATACTTTTTATAAAAACTATTAAATAAATACCCATCCACACAGTGAGCTGCAGTAATAACAGTTTTTGGTGAAATTATAGAGCCTCCACAAGACCAAGACTGAAATGAACTTCTACCAATAAGGTATATTTGGTATGGAATAGAATGGGGCTTTACTTCATCTCCGTGGATAATTTGCAAGTTAGGATCGTCTGGTAAATCATCTGGTAAGCCTACAGGATCGACAGTGGGATGTCTAAAAGGTGGTAGTTCATCTTTTGTGGAAGACTAAAATAAAAATGTTGTTATTTTTACTTAAAAAAAAAACTAAAAGTGTGTATGTGTGTGAGAAAAATATAGCACGGAATTAATTTCATCAGCCACAAAAGGTTTTATTTATATTTAAAAATATTTTTTGTCCTTTTTTGTTTTTATTTTTTAAATATATGTATAAGTCACAGAAATTATACAAATTCAGATTTCTACTGTTACGTCTTTAATAAATATTGGCAATCCTAAGGTTCATCATCATCATCAGTCGCATTACAGCTTGTTATGAGCCAAAGCCTTCTACAGCACAATCTTCCATTCGCCCCTGCCTCAGGCAACTCTTCTTCATGCTTTAACTCCGATGGAATTTAAATCATCTTCTATGTTATTTTGATACTAAGTTTTGGTCTTTCTCTGACTCGTCTTCCCACTGGTCCTCTTTGGTCGAAAAGTTTTCTGATCGTTGCATCTTCATCTCGCCTAATTACATGTCCTATCCATCGAAGGCGTGCTAATTTAATACATTTTACGACGTACGGTTCCCCAAAACTTCTGTATAACTCAAAGTTGTAGCGTCTAAGCCACAAATCCTGTTCGTAAACTCCATATATTTTCCTTAAAATTTTTCCCTTGAAACGTTTAAGCAATTCTGGTCGTTCTATGTAAGTGACCAGGTTTCTGACCCCTATATTAACACTGGTTTTTTATATGGTAACTTTAATTCTCCTGGGTAGTTTTGGGGCCATCTGTTTCCTCAAGCCAAAATAGCACTTATTGGCAAGCACTATTCTTCTTTTAATTTCTTCGCTGACATTGTTGTCTTTGGTCAGCAGCGACCCTAGGTAGACGAAGGTGTCCACATCTTCCAGTTCCACATCATCAATTAATAGTGTAGGTATCTGGTTGCCTGATCCAGTACAATACATATACTTGGTTTTTTGTGCGTTTATTTTTAATCCTATTTTCAGTGCAGAATGGGATTAAAGTTTCATTTTTGTGTTTCAGCTTATCTTCTTATCTATAACCATTTTTTTTTTAATTCTGTAGAAGGTTTTATTTCCCGTTTGAATTCTGCTTTTCGTATCTACATTTTCATTTCTTCTGTTGACTAATACACTCAAATTATTGAACGTTCCAACCTCTTCCAAGCTGTGTGCGTGTATTGTCATTTCTGTCATATGTGTCTTCTTTTTTTTGCTTAATTTCATGCATTTAGTGTTATTTTCATATATTTCAAGTCATCTTAAATTGGTTTCGTTTTCAATTTCTTGTAAGGTTATCTTTAATGCCCTTTTATCTGTTGCTATATGGTTATATAGTTCGCATATGATATTATTTCTACTACACTTTTTATTCTCTCTGTTCACTTGACTTATCCATTCTTGAATTCGTAATCCATCCATTGTTTTGCATCCTATTCGTTTTCCCTCTTTGGTCCCAGTATTTTTCTTATAATCTTCCTCTCAGAAATTTTCAGTTGCTTCTTTTTCTTGCTGTTTATGTAAATTTCTCTGAAGCATATACCACTATTTTCCTTATGGTCGTTTTGTAGAATTTCATTTTTGTGCTTCGGCTTATATTCTTATCTCTAAACATTTTTTTATTTCTGTAGAATGTTTTATTTCCCACTTGAATTCTAAAATTCAGGATACATACATACTAATCTATAAAATTGGATGAACTGTGTACATCTTACATATAATAGAAATAAACAGATTGAACTTATTTTAACTTGAGACATTTGTCCTTGCGAAGACAATATATATAATGGCGGCGCGGACCAATATTAATATCTCACTTATCTACCTATTTTTAAGGTTATTCAAGATTTTTTTGGGTTTTTACACATTTTGTTTTTACTTTTAAGTTAAGAATGCTGAAAAATATTGGAAATCAGAACACCAGAAATTACCACAAATAAAGAACTTAATATAAATGTACATGAAGTTCGTAAAATACTTGAAAAGCTGAAGAACAGAAAAGCAACAAATAAAGACGGAACACCAAACGAATTACTGAAAAACACATTAGAATACTGGAAGAATGAAGAACGTGTGAACTAATGCTTGTAAAATGTTTGTAAAATTTTAGTGGTAAATTTTAGGGTAGTATTTAACAAGTACTGATAAATCAAAGGGTAAGTTTAGCAGATGAACAACAGTTTTTTCGTAGTGGAAGATCGTGTGCAGATGCAATATTCGTTATAAAGCAAATTACTGAGAAATCACTAGAGTATAATAGACCAGTATTTCTGTGTCTGATTGAAAAAAGCGACAGAGTAAGACTCAAAAATGTAATACATCTTCTGTATAATAGAGAAGTTCCCCTAAATAGTATAAAAACTATTGAAAACATCTACTAAAACAACAAAATGGAAGTCAAAATAAATGGACAACTTAAAATGCTCTCCATTTTAATGATGTATAAAATCATCAAAATCGTTAACAACGAAACAGCATAGAGAATGAGAAACAAAGAAATAAAAATACTGATAGCCAATAATGAAGATAGTTTGTAAAGACTGGTCCACAGATTTAACATAAGAGCAAAAGTATTTAATAAGACAATCTCATCTCAGAAAACTAAAACAATAGTAATCAGTGTATAAATGAATGTACCCAAAATAGAAAAAACGAATGGAATAACCACCTAATCAGAATGGGGGAGACATAAGTCGTTAAAATAGCAAGAGATAAGTCACCAATCGGTAGTGCAAGTAACGGACGACCGCGCAAAAGATGGAGTGACAATCTTCCATAGAGGTATTAATCCGCCAATGAACAAGCAGAATTGCTTACAAAGATGAAGAAGAAGAAGATATTGGAAATACCAGATACTTTATAGAATGCTGAAACGTATTGGAAATACCAAAAAATCTCCATGTCAAAAAATATGTGTTGACCAGTATAACCAATAAATATAGGTACTTGATTATGTATTCTAAAACTTGATGGATTCGATCGTTACTTGATGGAAATTCATTTAATGTAACAATAAAACACTGAAAACTTTGTTTTCAAACTTCCACAAAATTTATTTTAAATCTTATCACTACAGCTGTTTCGGCTGATTACCTTTCTCAAGTGATCTATTTTTGGCTTGGGTTTACAAATGTATAGTCTCTAATGAAATGGGTTGAGGAGGGGAGAACTGTTTGTCTCAAGTTGGTCATTCAGAATTATATCTGTGTTTTTTAATTTGTTGATTTCCATAGATTCTAACAAAGATAGCTTAAGGCCTTTATTTTGAATGTGAAGAATTTTAAATTTTTTATTAAAAGAATGATTATGATCTAGAAGGTGAAGTGCGTATGTTGAATCTGCTTTTCTATTCTATTCTTTATTGTTACATATTATAAAACTTGTTATTCTAAGTTTTGTTCTTTATTTTTTAAATTTTTTTGGATTTACTAAATTTGTAGGATTGGTGTTCAATTGTACTACTCTTACTATATAACTGTGTTATTAAAAGCAACAAAGTAAATAAAATAGATAAAAAATTAACATTTTAAGATCACAAATGTAAAAATAGGTTATCAGAAATGTAATAGAAATTTAAAAAAAAATGAAAAGAAAGAATTTTAAAAAAATTAAAATAATGAGGTTATTACAACAGCGGGTTGTAATAACCTCCTTGTTTTATTTTCTTTTAATTCTTCCTGTTTATTTTTTTTAAGTTTAATAAAAAATAATAGAAGCGAGAGAGGTTAACCATAGTCAGTCACGAAAAAAAATATTCTGAGATTGTGAATATTCAACAAACTTAAATAATTTTAAAATTAAGATCCACTTAAGAACTTAAGATCCACAATTAAGTGGAGAACAGGTTTAGATATAGAATTTAAAAAGGAAAATAGTTACTTACAATAAGATTGCAACTTGCTGTCGCCAACACAATTACTAGCATTGCAAAAGTCTTCATCTTGGAGTAAGAAAAATTTCTACTATGACTTTTAAAAGTCAACGCTACCTTATATATGTGACCATATTTGCTTTAAGTAAAATCTGATATTGCAACAATTTATAAATCAATAAATTATCGTACAGTTTTTTAATCAAGATTAGGGCACCCTATTGCACCAATTATTGATTATTGAAATATTGGATTTTGAAATTTGTTGTTCTCGAATAAAAATACAATTTAAATATAATTCCATAAGGGCATGAAACTTTTATTTTGAGGCAATAAGCTATTGTTCTGAAGCTATTTTCTTGTCGCATTTTAAATTAATTACTATTTAACTGGGAATAAGCCACAATTAAAGATAAAAATACGTTTATTGACGTTTCAATTTCCACTTCGTAAATCGTTCTCAAAATACAAACAGCAAATTAAACAAATTTTGTTTTTTGTTACATAGTGAAAAATTCTTCTAATAATTAAATTTTATCTGACTCGTTTATATTGACAATTCAGACATACATTATGCATTTTAAAGTAGACGACTTTAAAATGATATTGCCAATATTGTTGAGTTGCGCTCCTGGGACGACTTTACTTATAAGATAGTTCACAGCTGATGGTCCGGTAATCATTGCAGGATACAGATTTTGTTTTCTTTGGTAGAGCAATAAACGTTGACTTGAGCCATGATCTTGGTATTACTCCGTTTAAAATTTCTCTCAGTGAGTGTTGTTAAGTACTGTCAGCATTAAATAGCTTTATGAGTTCAGCATGAACATTGTCAGGTCCAGGAGCTTTGCCATCTTTTAGTTGTGATATTGCTTTTTCCACTTCATCCGGTGTAATTGGTAAGTGATCATTACATATGTAGGACGAAGGTTGTTCGGACTTTTTATCATCAAAGTGTTCTGGTATGTATTACCCATATGCATATTTCCTGGTTTTTATCTGTGATAATGTTCCTCTGTTGATCTAGCAGTATGCTAGCTGTGTTGTATTTTTGAAGACTAACTGCTTGTTTTACCCTTTTCCCATATCGTAACGGAGGTTGGATGTTTAGTTCAGGGAAGAACACATTTTGGAGAAAATTCTTCACTAGGAAATCTTCTGACCTAGACATTTTCATCATTATTAATATTGATAGTGGATTCGTCACTAAACAGTACACTCTGCTGTCCAGATTCGATGTTCCTTTGCCCATTTCAAACGGTGCAATGTTTGCTTTTCTGAAAGAAGTGGTTTCTTCCGTGCATTACATCCTTTAAGTCCAAAACTAAGCAGTTTTTTCTCATAGTGGAAGTGCACCCGCTTACACCTGCATATTCAGGCCACAACTTCGTCAATTAGGTGGAATTAAGGCTTCTGTATACCAGACTTGTTTTTCTTAACGCGTCATCCCGAACAGAAGTTTTCTTTGGGCGGCCACTACGCAGTTTGTCGTCGATTTTTCCTTGTTTAGCATACTTCTTAATGACTCTTATTACTGTAGATTGATTATAGTTTACTGCGGATGCTATTTCGCGACTAGATTTGTCGTTTTCATGGAAAAAAATAATTTCAAAACGCTTTTCGCCCGATAATTCAGTTTGTTTGGTCTGGGATGCATTTTGATCTTTTTATCAAAAATCAAAGAGGGAATAAATGTGTTAGGGTAACAGTGTTTATATAGTCAAAATATGTGGCAAATTTGTCAATAAGATTCAATTTAATTGTACTTTAACGACTTAATAATCACCTCATTTTCTCGGATTATGGAAAATCCCTTCAATTAGATTATTTTATTCTTTTCTGTAGAATTTTGAGCTAGTAATTAAAAAACATTAGTAAGTATACCGATAATGCTAATTACTAGCACAAACTTAAAAGGAATTAGCGAAAATATACAAAAAACTTTTGTTAAACGTTAAAAATTATACGCCGCTTATACTACAACTATTCGAATTTATTTCCAAGGGGTGGTTTTCATGAGGGTAGAAATTATGTGGTTAAAAATTTAAACAATAAAGAAATGTAAATTCAATATATATATATATATATATATATATATATATATATATATATATATATATATATATATATAATATATATATATATATATATATATATAAACACTGACACAGAACATATAAAATTTAAAAAATTAATAAATTAAAGTCGAAGGTTAGATCCTCGAAGCCAATTTCTCGCCTTGGGAGTATGTTGGTGGATTACTTGAAGGCCCCCAAAGAACTTGATGGCTGGACACTCGAATACGATGTGGGTAATTGTTTGTTCAGCAGCGCTGCATTTGTCACATTCTGGGCTGACATTTATACCCCATTGATTCAGCGAGTTGTTACAAATTCCATAACCAACTCGTATTCTATATAGGTTGCACCATTCAAGACGGGGAAGAGAAAAGCCGCCTGGTTTGATTGTGGGGTTTTCTATCAGATTGTGATTTGATCAGTGCTCTTCGGTAGTGAAAACAGCCAATTTTGTAGCAGTTCTAGTAGGTAGATGTCTATATTTCAGTCTTAACTGCCTTTGGTGTAGTTCAGCGATGTCTGTGTTTATCGGTAGTTCTCGGTTTTGTTGTCATTTTTGAACTAGAGTGTTGAGTGTGGCTAGTCGTCTTGTTGCTGTGGGCTTTATAGTTCCCGTTATGTGCCTCATTGTTTGGATTAACTGGGTATCTATGACTTTTGTGTGATGAATGTTTAGCCAGACAGGAGCGCAAATATTCTCCAGTAGGATATACTAAGGACAGCGCGCTTGTTCTTATTACCTCCGCATTCCACCCCCATAATGTAACATGAAATGAATTGATGATGGATTGCTAACTTATGGATAATATTATTGCGGGTCTTAATTTTTGCTGAAGTGCTTTCTAAATGCTTTTTAAATGTTAGGGTACGATCTAGAGTTACACCGAGGTATTTTGGGTTAGCACTGTGCTTTAGACTGATTCCATTGCATTCTATGTTTAGTCTGTAATTTGCCTTGTTGTTGTTGGATGGAAAGCTGTTACTTCAGTTTTCGATGGGTTTGGTTGTAGGCCCCATTTCTTAAAGTATCTGTTAACAGTGTTTAGATCTGCTTCTATGGTGGATTCGGCGATGTTTATGTCTTCTTCTTGGGCACCCAAAGCCATGTCATCGGCATAAATAAATTTGCGCGATGTGGTAGTTGGTACATCTGACGTATAAATATTAGAAAGAAGAGGAGACAAAACTGACCCTTGTTTCAAGCCGTTTTACAGGTTTCTGAGGTTACTATTTTTCCCATTTAGGTGTATTTGGAAGTAAGGTATTTGGTTGTTAAACCAAATGCTAAGTATGTCACTTAGCATTTGGTTTAACAACCTGTTGAACGCACGCCACGGTAACAGCTGGTATATTTTATATAAAAGGCCCTCCTTCCACACTGTGTGGTAGGCGCAGGTCAAGTCTATGAATGCTGCTACTGTTTTCTGTTTCTTTTGGAATCCGTCCTCAATAAATATTGTTAAGGAGAGGACTTGGTTGCCACAGCTTCTTCCCGGCATGAATCCGGCTTGTCCTTTAGGAATATTTGACTTTGTAAAGTAAAATAGTCTCGTTTGGCTTATCCTCTCGAAAATTTTGTAGCAGACGCTTAAAAGAGCGATTGGTCTGTAGCCCTCAGGTAATGCAGAGTCTTTCCCAGGTTTAGATATTGCGATGACATTACTTTTTTTGAAGGATTTTGGAAACTTCTGCTTAGTTAGTATTTGATTGTAGAATGCAAGAAGCCACTTTCTGGCATTCGGACCAATGTGTTTTATAAATTCAGGATAAATGTTGTCAACTCCTGCGGCTATACAACATTTCATTAATTTTAGAGCTTCCTTAAGTACTTCTGGTTCGATGAGCTTCATTATCGGTAGGCTTTGTTGTTGAGCAAGTTTGGCTTCTTTTAACTGAGATCGGACTTCTCTTTTATGATCTTTTTCTATTACTGGTTTTGAAAGGTTGGCTATGCGTTTGCCTATGTCTTCCGGTTTTGGGACTGTAGAGTTTGTTGTAGGGCTGTTTGGGCCAGAGTCTAGCTTTCTAAATTCAATATCACTATGTAATAAAATCATTCCAAATTACTTGAATTTACAATTATATGATTTTTTTTAATAGGGGTTGTTTTCAACGCTAAAAAATAAAAAGCAACCAACGGCAAAAAGTGAAGTGGAGATGACAGATTATCGGTGTATTTCACGTTCATTTACTGGCCTAATATATACGTATACATGTATATCAGTTTTAGTACTATAAAAAACATAAATTGACTGAAAGTAGCTGATTAAAAAAAAAATCAAGAATTGTTCCGTAAACCCGTTTTTGTAAGAAAAGTTTTGATAAAATATAATAATAATATAAGATAAAGAGAGAATTACTGTAAATCTGATACGATTTTTGTAAAAAAAATATGACGTAATAACTGTTTTAAGCAAGATCTATATGCTGATAAAAATGATGAAAAGGTCTATGGCCCGTCAAAACATTAAAAATATTTTTATTTGTTTTGGTTTTTGTTGCTTAATTTCTTTAAGGATTTAATACGGATTAGTGTACTATTATTAAATTTACTTTAAAAAAGTCATTGTATGATTGCGAAGAAAATTCAATCTCTTAAACATTACGGAAAAAAGACAAAAAATTATCCAACCAATCTAGTTAAATTAATATACCATAAAATAGACTATAAGATATTCTTCATGCAAATTTTTATTTTGGAAGCAAAGTTGTGAACGAAGTTATTTCAGTCAAATAAGATTTTTTTTTCTAATGTAACAGATCTAATGTAACAGAATATAGACATCTGCAGAGAAGAATAAAATAAGAGATCAAATTAGCCAAAGAAAAATGGATGAGAAAAAGGTGCGACGAAATGGAGGATGTAATATTTAAACACGACTTATTTATTGTTCTTAAAAAACTAAAAGAAATGAGTAACATATTTTAAAAAACGAGTTCCCTCTGTACTCGTTGACAATAATAACAAAATTGTTG